GTGGGAGACTCCTGAATGAAATACCGAAGGAAGGGGGAAGAAGTTCAACTATTCACTGTCAGGGCGCGCGCAGACAGAAGAAAAAGTACATGTGCAGAGAGTGACTCATCCCCAAGGTCACCATCGGTTCGACACGTCCGGAAAGTAGGTGAGTTGGCGGCTCTCACCAAACAGCTTAGCAACACACGACCAGCGTAGTGGGCCTGAGAATGTTCACGACCGGAACACCACCATTGGCTGTACGGAGCGAACAACGGAACGAGCATATTTGGCCAATTAGTCATCCCATATATTTACGCAGACGCTCTGTACGTCTTGTCCTGGCAATACAGCCGTGCCCGCAGTTCTGTCTTCTCCCTATCGCGTAGTCTGGCAGGCTCAGTGCAGGCGTAACCCCAATAGCTCGGCAACCGCGCAACACAACAACCCCACAACAGACTGTTGACCTGGATAAATCTGAACTAGTGTGGATTTCAAAAGTACCTACTGTATGTATATTGAAGAGCTTGTATTCACTGTGAGCCTCAAATCAAAAACTTCCGGACTTATTACTTCAAGGGAGCATTTGAAATGAATATGGTCATCCCAATATTTTGGTAGTAAAGATATTTCGCCTGAAACTTACGTCGTTATACTTACGGAATGATGAGGATGTGTTTGTTTTTCTGTTTCATTTAGACCGGCTTTCGGTATGCATAGACGAGTGGGTTCCCTGATCTTTAGGTTACTCTATAGCTCCGTTTGTTGTCATTAGTTCAAGTTTATAACTCTTCCGCTACGCGTATAAGTGGAGTTCAAGGTGCTGGAGACCAAGTATGCCACGATCCGACAGTGTATTCCGCTTCTGAAACAAAAAGCCCGCTAGGTTTCCCAGCTCAAATGGGTCGAAGATAGCTATACTTTCATGAAGGAAACTACTGACAAGGTTGCTGAGAACTCTTCGACAGCCCAAGACCGGTTTCGCCCTTCTTGAGGCTCATCAGGTAGTCGCAGTCCCCGAGTTTCCGTCAGCCTTATGTTCTACTTGAACTCAAATTGGACTGTTTCCGAGAAATACACTTTTTTAAGCTGACGGTATTCTGAACTGGCCTTTCAGCTTCCAGATTATCACAGATAAATCCAAAGTCCCGCGCCCCAAATGGCCTTTATGAAGTTGTGATTCGGGAACTATTCTTTTCTATTTTGAATGTGATGGTAGCATGCGGTTAACCTGCGCGAAATTATGTTTTACGTGGTCAACTTTCAAAAACAAAACAAATGTCTAATTCGCTTCCAGTGTGTCATCTTGGGGTTCCCAACAAGGGAATGAGTCGGATCCAACGATTCAAATATCGTTAGACCGTCATTCGGGGTGAAGTTACTCCCATTTCTTATCCTGATGTACGAGACCTTCGTTCATTATCACCTATTCCATGGGGTAGTTTATGGTGACGGAAGGTTAAATTCAGCAAAGACATCGGTTAGTTCGTTATTCTAATGTACTCCAACTATGAACATCACCTCGTGATCGATGGCACGCTTGAATGCATTATAACGGGCATTGTGGTGTTTGTCACAAACAGCTAACCGTAATGCGTTTTTTCATTACAAAGTCAAAACACAGCGTAGTTTGCTGTAATCCGACGTTTAGGTTGCCGTAACCTTTCTCAAGGATTTCTACAATCAACTGAATACGAGTCAAATGCAGCGTGTCTTATGATTGGTGCATCTCTGTGATCAGTTGGCAGTCAGACTGGATCAGCGTGCGTGGGTGTGCGTATGTGTGTAGGTGTGATTGTGTGCTCACTCTGATTAGGATATGCTTCCGTTTGTTGTTGTGCTAATGTGACGATCACCCAGACTGCTTGTCTAAAAATCAAAAACTCTTTGAACGGAGTGTTCGAAACCTTCATACGACCGACCAATCGAAAAAGATTTGCGTAGCGGCCAAGTGTTTTCCGACCTTGAAAGACCCTCGGTAAAACTTGCTACTCCAGTTCCACGTGTCCTCGACTTTCTTTGACAATACTTTGAAATAATGGTAGTTCGGGTGGTAGTAGTCAGTATGTCAACTGGCTTGGAAACCTTTCGTCACCATTCGAGAAGATGACATCACTTGGCGGTTGCAAATCAGTCGCTAAGCCCGGCGGACAGATAAACTATCACCTGGTCAGCTGTCATTTGGGTTTATTTATAAAAAGATTCATCCAGAGTTACACTTCCTCCGTAGTTCGATAGATTGTTTATTGATTGTGTGACTTCTGTTGACTAAGTAACAAGGATCTACCACCACCGAGGATAAGGACTGAGGATGCATGCAGTTCACCGCTAGATGAGTCATCAACTGACAAACTTACGGGTGTAAATATAAAGAAAACAGATGATAACTAAGCACACCGCATTAACCTGTGCCAAATAAAGTTGTCACGAGGTTCATTTTTATGGCATCAGTAATTTAGCTGGTAGTATTATAAGCTGGAAAGCTGAAAACGATATCTTCCGGAACGGTTAGGAAATTCACTAAAACGTTTCTCTAAATCTTGCTCACTAACCACCAAGTGCCTGACCCACAACTAGTAAAAACAGCTGTTCATCAGTCGAGCGTATCAGAGGTTGGCAGTAAATCCAACGCAAGACAAAGTATTAGGTTTTCGTTTCTCACGATCAGTTGGGTGTTTTAACTGGTCCGTCAAAGGGTACAAAATGGTTGCAGCTATATACTATGTAATTTAGGAGGTGACTCTCAGACAACAGTGACTAGTTTACTAAACCAAGTCGTTAGCACCATCAGAGTTCACTCCAAACTCCAGATACAGATGGATGGAGTTATCTGTTCAAGCTTTCTCTGGCATACCGACGATCTTCAGAGGACGCTTTAGGGGCGTTTCTGTATCTCAGAGCGTAGACGATGAAAAGAATCACGAAGTATTGCCTCAGATAGATTTACATAGGTTAGTTTATCAACGTCTGCTCAAGAAGGGTAGGGAGATTATCATCGGACTTAGACAGCACTATAAAAGTGTATCTGATGACAAATGTTCCACCCTTCAGTAGGCCACAAAAGCCTAAGGGGGACAGCGCAAAGAGAAATGTGCACGACAAGTGACAAGTAGAAAAGATTTGATTACTGAAGCGAGCAACTCTCGATCATTTCTAACGGGACCATTCGGTGGTCGATCCGGAAGAACTTCAAAGCTACTGGCGCACGTAACTTAGGCCATTGGTAAACCGCTGACGCCTGCCGCGGATAATGAAGGAAGGAAATCATACGGACCCTGACCGTATGCGCTGTGCTCCCAATATCGACACACTTGTTTGGATCAGTTTTATGAAGTCGCATTGTAATCAAGACCCAAAGGTATGGATGTTCTCGCTGATATAACTTTGTATCGATGGCTTGAATAATTTCCTGGCAAAAGATATCTCACAGACATATTTTCCGCAAGTTTCAGTGTTCAAGAATACACTATAGAAGGAGATGGTAGAATGATTGTCCCCTTACACTCAGCTACAACATCAGGTAATCCTTTAGCATCACTCTGTGCATACTACACACTCGAAATAGAGTAGTCATTTAGGAGTGCTGGAATGAGTTTTTGTACATGGGTCCAGAAAGTTTCTGGAAGTTTCTGGACCAAAAGTACTGAGAAAGTACTGCAAAAACATGTCTGAGGAAAGATGCTTTTGTCTTTCATAGTCCTCAAAACTTTATGCTTTAGACAAGCAATTCCGTCGGTGCTGGATTTGTCTGGTTTGTGAACAAAGCGACACCAACAAAAGCAACTAATGAGGGCCTCATCATACTGTTCGACATTTCAGGGATGACTACTGTGCCCTAAATAGTAGTGTACGATCTTGTGCTAAGGCCGGGATCTCAAAGCAATGAATTGATTAATTAGTCTAAGCTCACGATCTAGGCGTCCTATCTGACAGGTAACGTGTAATCTAATTCACCGACGGACGGTCAGTAATAATTAAGGCGAAACCGATTTCTACTAACTTCACCTTCGTTTCTTCAGTAGTCGCAAATGGGCA